TTTATTTTCAGGCAGTGAATTATTGTAAAATTAAATCACAAACTATCATTCCTTGCTATGGTATAACCAAATTCCCAAATAATGGAAATTATGCAATTGTTCTACCTTATGCTTCAGGTGGAAATTTAAGGGATTATGAAAAAATCATTCAAATTTAACATTAAAAGACAGTTTTATTACTTGTCTAAATTCAAAGAAAATTTCTTTTAAAAATTTTCTTTCTTTCATCAGGACTGATTAGATCGACAAGGGGATTGATTTCACAGCTTATTTTCACCAGAATCCAATTATATTGATCATATAATATAGAGTTTATATAATATATATCTTGATTACCACATACTATACAAGGACCAAAATTTTTTCGGCTTACACCTTTATTCATTTTACTAATGATAAATGATAGTTAGAAATGTTATTTATTTACTATTGCTTGAATTATCTATATATTAGTGTTACGCGCGTCAAGTTAAAATGTAGACCATCACAAATTTGGATGTTATGACAAATTTAGAGCAACTTTGTTATTAATAAAAATAAAAATCCAATCCCGCTCAGGAAAGAACAATAATAACAGAACATTTGTGCAAATTTTGAGGTGGTATTATATAGTCTGTGCAGCGCCATTTTTATAAGTGGTACTTTTTCGATTTTACATATTAATATTAATATAATTGTTGTGTGTAACGACGATCTATCCATAAAAGGATTTTTATCTATGCTAATAAAATTCACGATTATTTTTAAATATCATTTAACGGTCTTTAACCAGTCTCGAGACTACATTTAAAAACCAGTTCTCTGAAAAAGGTCAATTCTTTGGAACCGAAGCCAAACTGAACAGAATGAATCCAACCTACATATTATCTACACGGCAACTCTACTCCGTGTTTCTCCAGATCTAAATGAAACCATGTAGGTAATATTAGTATTAGTGCAATATAAATAATACCTGTTTCGTATAAAATCAAAGACACTTAATAAATGAAATAAATTGTGTATTATATAATAAATTTAATATATAGTCCTCACTCTGTCTCTCTTTAACATAAATTTTTAAATAGGTAGCTATGTATTTCTTTGAAAAGATATAATTAATTTTTTTTTTTAATTTTATAATGGTTCTTTAAATATAATGGATGCTCTGAGCATTCGTGAACTATGCGAAACATTAGGATTCCTCGCTTTGGATCTCAATTTTGTAAAATTGTGTCTCGATTGGATTTCGTTCATTGTATATTTGTTCCGGATGAATTCCTATCAGATATACAAAAAATTAAAATTCATATTATATATGATGTCGAACCTAAAGACAACTTGCCGTAAATGATTGGGCTGGTAGCTACTATTGTCGTAAATAGATACGGCTATTGCAAATAGATGCAATTGCCGTAAATATTTTATAATAGTAGTTACCATTGCCGCAAATAACCAATTACGGCAGGTGTCTTTAGTCGAACCAAGTTAGGTTTCTATGATACTTTATAATCCTGAAAACATTTTGTTTTATGGTTTTTCAGCTTATCATATTCTAAAGACACATTCTATATGTAAAGATCTGCAAAAATTTTTAAATTTATAAAAAATAGATCGAATAAATCAAATAATTATAATTATGTGTGGTATTTTATTTCGCTTGTCTCACGATAATTATAATGCTAATGATAAAATATTTCAAAAAGATTTATGGGATTTATTAATTAATAAGAATAAACAACGTGGTAAAATATAAATAGTAATCAATTAAAAAAAGGTGTTTAGTTTTGTGAAAATAAACTTCATTGTCTTTTATTGACATATTTTGTCATTAGGGCCAGATGAAATTTCAAAATTTTCCAAGTCGATTAAATTAATTGAAGAAAAATCAATTATTAGTAATAGTGATGATGATAGTAGAGGAAAAGTTGATGAATTATTATTGGATTTTTTTGGAGCAGTTTTACATTTACGTGGTAAAGAATTAACGGAACAACCTTTAATTAGTGAAAATCATGATATATTATTATGGAATGGTGAGATATTTGATGGTTTCAAGGTAAGGTAGAGACAATAAATAAATAAAAACATATAAATTATAAATACATGACCAAATATGTTTTTCTTGCACAATATTTAGATACCGAAAGATGAGAATGACACAATTCATCTTTTTAATTCATTAAAAGGAATTGAAAATGATGATGAATCATATAGAATTCTAAATGTTTTAGAAAAAATTGAAGGACCTTATTCAATAATTTATTGGCAGGTTAATTAATTAATAATCATAATGACAGTAATAATATTTCATTAATTCATTTATTTTAATTTTTGGTTGTTAGAATTCTACAAAAAAATTGTGGTTTGGAAGAGATTACTTGGGAAGAAGATCTTTACTATGGTATAAACCAAAACTATTATTAAATAAAAAAGATGATTTTATATTGACATCTGTTGGATGTAAATTACCAAACAATTATCATGATGATGGCGATGAAAATCATTATTTTCAAGAAGTTCCTGCTGACGGAATTTATTGTTTAGATTTTAAAAAAATTATTGAAGCAAATTCTTCAGGTAAATTATTATTATCTATTATCATTATCTATCATTTAAAAGATTATTTATTGATTCTTTCTTTCAATCTAAAGAATTATTTGAGAATTATTTAATTCATTATAAATGGTATGATAAAGATGATAATAATAATAATGTTCTGGCAAGGATCCAAATAATCTTTTTTTAATTTTTAATATATTGATTTTTATTAGAAGAAATAATAATTACAACAATAATTATTTTAATACAATAGAAATTGCCATTTGGTAGAGTAAATGACAAATTACCAAATCCAGATGAATTACCAAGGATAGACAATTTACCAGGATTATCGATTCCTGATATTTCAATAGAAATGGAAAATGTTATAAATAAATTTATTGATGAATTAAGTTATTCAGTATGTAAAAGGGTTGAAAATATTCAAGGTTTAGGGTAAGAAAATTATTATATATATGTTTATGTAAATAGTATACATACTTATATTTATATATTATTATATTTTAGAGTATCTACAAAAGAATCCAAAATTGCAATATTATTCTCGGGTGGATTAGATTGTGTTTGTTTGGCAGCATTAACTCACAAGTATTTACCAGGGAATGAATCCATTGATTTATTAAATGTTGGATTTGAAAATCTTAGAATTAATCAACAAAAAAATACTAAAAAGAAAAAAAATAGAAAACAACAAGATGTTAATGATGATAATAATAACACAGATAATACAAGTAGTAATACTAGCAATAATAATAAGTTTATTTATGATGTACCTGATAGATTAACTGGTAGACAAAGTGTTGAAGAATTAAGGTGTTAAATCAAATTTAATTAAATGTTTAATATTGAAAAGGTTGTTAATGTCTAATCAATTATTATTATTAGAAAAATTGCGCCTAATCGTAAATGGAATTTTGTAGAAATTAATATTCCATATGAAGAATCATGTAAATACAAATCAGAAATTTTGGAATTGATTTCTCCATCTGATACAATTATGGATTTGAGTATTGCAATGGCATTTTGGTTTGCCGTTAGAGGCAAAGGTTTGCTTATTTTTTTTATTTTTTAATGATTTAATTATAATAAAATTAAATAGACTTTTTTCAACAGGTCAAATTATAAACCCTGATAATCCAAAGGTAACAATAATCATTAATAATTATTGGATAATTAACAAATTACTATTAGATATGATAATATTAATAATGTAATTAATATGATTAATATGAAAAGATGACGATGATCGATTACGAGAGTAAAGCAAAAGTTATATTGGTTGGTATAGGTGCTGATGAATTATTAGGTGGTTATTCAAGACATCGTGAAGCATTTAAGAAAGGTGGCTGGGAAAATTTAATTAAAGAGGTTTAAACAATTATGCACTATAATATATGTGTGTGTGATTTATTGTTAATATTGTTACTGTTGTTAGATTCAATTAGATGTTGATAGAATATCAACAAGAAATTTAGGTATTTTAAACTTAATCTTTCTACTATCATAATTATAATATTCCACAAGGTTTAAAAATAATAATTTATATTATAAAAAAGGACGCGATGATAGAATAATTTCTTCGCATGCAAAGGAATCAAGATATCCATATTTATCAGCTAATGTAGTTTCTTATCTGAACTCAATTCCAATTCATCTAAAGCTTGATCTAAGATTTGAAAGAGGAATTGGCGAGAAATTGCTATTAAGACATGTAGCAAGAAGATTGGGGTTGATTGAATCTAGTAAATTGTTGAAAAGAGCAATACAATTTGGTTCAAAAACTGCTAGAATGACAAATGAAACTAATAAAGAAAAAGGTAATATGAAAGCCACTTGATCAATTAATCAATCAATCAATCATTATCATTGATGAAGAATGTCGTTGTCTGAGAAGAACGACAATGAAAAATAAATAACATAATGCGAAACTATCATTCAAAATAGTAATAACAAATATATGTTACAAAAAAAATCAAAAATGTGCCTTTTGTAATATAATTTGGTTTTCTAGTGTTAATTCCTTGAATTCTTAACGAATCACGTCAGAGTTATTTCCGTATCCTTTAAAGAATCTTCTTGAAGCACAGTCACCATTCTGTATAATTTTGTGACTATATATATTTGTTTGGGTCGTTTTCTTTGTGAATCACATATACCAATAAATGTGTATACAATATATAAACAAAGGATACAAATAAAAATCGAAGATATATCATTATATTTATCACGAATATTCAGTAATTGATAAACAATTTGACTGTTATTTGCACCAACTGAAAGAAATCTCTCTTTGATTAATACCAATTGTAGGCTGTTATTTTAAAAATAATAATCACAAAAGATTAGGAAACAAAATCAACAAGAAAGTGATGTGTGCGGACCCTGGGTATGATGATTAGAACTTCGACCATGTGTTAATAACCAAATTGGTACAGATCTTTACTACGTTATAATCATTTTGGCTGTCCGTGTTTCCCTGTATATCATTTATAAAGCATTGTCAAAGTTGAGAAATTAATATAAATGATATCACGTATAATTCATTAAAGAATGATCAAATTGTTTAGCACTAATATAATTTTTACGAAATTATTTATATAAAATCTTGAAAAAAGAAGGAATCACCTGTGAAATATTGATCCAAAATTAAAAAGTTTCAAATATTATTTCGAATATCCATATTTTTATTTATTAAACATATTTAAAAGTTGATAAATTAATAAAATTAATATTTGAATGAATACAATAAAACTAGAATTCCTACTATTTTGACTTATAAATATTTATCAGTTATTGAATAAAAGATACTCGATGTATGCTATTTTTAGAAAAACTCTTCATATCTTTGTTGCCACTTTTTAACATCCATAGGGCCCCACCTGCTTTCACCATCCTGATACATGCGATCCATCACATCTGAATAGCATATTAAAAGCTTCTTATCCCACTTATTTTTGATTTTACTCCAGTGTTCATTTGCGTAATCGTCGAGGTTCGCTCTTGAGTCAAATATTTTGTCTTTAAATTGGAACGAACAATCTTCATTATATTTAATTCTATCCATAAATGCCTTGAATTCCCCTTCCGGCTTAAATTCTAAGCCAATAGATTCTAAGACTTCGTCCACAAAATGTTGACAATTGGTATGATAAGAATTATAACTATGAGTTTTATTATAATAAGCACATTTTTCAGCGATCCTTTTTAGTCTATTACTATCTTTCTTTATTATATTATGTGAAACAACTAAAATTATTCCCAATGCTGCCGTAGCTCCCAATACAGCGAAAAAGATGCCAACGCCACCAGTCAAAACGCCGATAACAACACCGAGGATAATAGAAATTGCGATTGCTGAAATACATAATCGAAGAGTAAATACAGAATTTGTTTGTTGGTAATTTACTCGCACACAGGCCAACATTCCTCTGGTATTTGGGATTGGGCACACAATGCTTGGACCCGCGAGACCATAGCCCCACTCTATGATGATACCATCTATTTCCAGGCCTACATGAAATATCCCATAATTAGTGAATCGTGTAATTACATTCCTGAAAATGGTGGAATTATAAAACTTTCCATCAATTTTTTCAATGAACAAATAAACATTGTAATTTTTGCTTTTTCTTTTGTTTTTCCATGTCATTAGCTCTGAATCTTCAGGCATATATTGGCTATTAAATCTTTGAAAGCCTCTAAATGAACGTATGCCGGATTCTATATTTCTCAATAGACTTACATGTTCTTCGTTTTTTACCATAAGAAATTTTTCAAAGAAAAGATCTGGGTCTCCAAGTTGGCGGACAAGAGTATGAAGCTGCTCTGGATTTTGGATATCCAGTTTTTTGAGTAAATCTTTGTATATGTCGTTTTCCGACTCTTCGAGATCTTTGAGTTTTTTTTTAATGAGATTATATTCACAGCACCGGTGATCCGAACATAAGGGAGTTGTTTCATTGATTGAAGGTTCTGAAGAATTTGAAGATTTTGAAGATTTTGAAGATTTTGAAGATTTTGAAGAATTTGAAGGTTTTGAAGAATTTGATCCCATTACTATAAAACGAGAAAACTGAATTGACAATGATAATAATTATAATACTATCAAATAGCTATACTGATTGAATAATATAACTAATTTGGCTTGATAACAGAATTTACAAAGTTATAACTTTTCTATTTGGAAAAAACAAAAAAAATCCTCATTTTTCTCCAACTGCAAAAGTTTTTATAAGCTTATCATCATCATCATTAGAACCGGTTCAAACAATGAAAGTAAATTATGCACAAATTTTTATATTATGCACCAAAAAAAAATACCAATTATAAATTATTAAATTATATAAAAAATTTATTTGATTTCTTTAATGAATCAATTGATATTATCCGAAAGAGAATTATACACTACAAATTGATATAGGAAGCCAAATGTAATTTTTGAAAATAGCGACGTACTTTGTCAAATTTTATTTAATGTTAATCACGTGATAACTATCAACTATACAACAATTATGCGGTGATTTAGTTTGATTATGCATCGTTTTGCTTGATTATGCAATATCAATACATTCGGCATCGTCTAACTAGTATATACAAGTTTAGAGATTATTTTACAATTTAGAAACTACCATGACAGGAAACAATAAACAATCTAACAATATAATAACATAACAAAAAACAATAAAACAACAAAACAAATTAAAACTAGAGATGGGAAATTGCATGAAATTCCAAATTTCATGCGCATATCACATCTCTAAGACAGTAGTGGAAAAACTATTTTCAATTGTTCCAAGCTCAACTTCAAATGAGCTTGATTTTTCCAAATTGGGAATCATTTTAAGAAATGAAAAGCTAGAATCCACGAGTAAGTTATGTACTTGTTTATGCCAAATGCTAAAAATGAGTTATCATTTATAGGCAAGAATTAAACAAGTGAAGAATTTTTAGAATGAAAAAATATATAATGGTGAAGATGACAATAATGAGATTGAAGAAAGTCAAATTTTTGTCTTTAAATAATGAATTACATTTCAAAAAATGTTATTCCTATTGCACTATGACGATTTTGATCATGATTTTTTCATCATTGGTATTCTTGCCCTCGATAAAAAGAAAATAGGATTATGTAAAAATGTATGTGCTCCAGGGATGAGTAAATAATTATTATCAAAGGATAATTGTCATAGGAAATTATAATTTGAATTATAAAATTAAATTGTCTTTACATACATATGAGTTGGGTTGACTTGATGTTTGATTTTGAAATTAACTACGCATCATAATAATATGTTTAAGCTGTCTTTAGTGTCTGAATTTGAAACACACATAGGCTGGTCAATATTGGTGCGTAGAATGACTTTTACATAGTACATGAGACAGATTTAGGTGCAAGCATTTATAAGTTTTAATTTTGAAATTTTAAAAGGGATAAAAATAGCAGACAAATAAAATTCTTATTGTTGAAGCATTAGAGTCACGATGAATCAATGACGAATTTTTGTTGATGTTAAAGTTGTTCTTTAAATAATGCAACTTTTATTCAATGAAAAATTAAATTTTGATTCTAGTCAAAAACCAGCTAGTCAAAATTTTTCTGGTGGAGTATAGTCGGGTTTGATTGGAGTAAAGGTTGTTGATTTGTGTGCATTTTAAAAGATAACATTTGCAAGGTAATTGATTGTTGGCCATGTGGTTGAGATTAAATTAGGATTAGATTGTCATGAAAATAAGTGAGTGGGATTAATTACAGTAAAGGCAGTTAAGGGTAGTATAGGATAATTATATATCAAATTTTTTATTATAGGTGAGTATGGAAGATTTTAAGTTTGAATGAAAATAATGACCCATGGTAGAAGCATAAATTATTTTACACAATTTCAATAATACAGTCAGGGAGATTTCCAAATTTGGAATTTCCAAATACTGTAATGATTAACATTCTAGATTCATTGTGTAAT